CCCCCTCCCTTTTTTGGTTTCAAATGGTTCCCCCCAAAACCCCCCTCCCCCCCCTTTGCCCCCAATTTTTGAAACCCCCAAAAAAAATTTTTTTTTAGGCCTTTTTTGAAACCCCCCCAGGGGGGAGGGTGCCCGTGGGGGCTAGAGTTACCCCGCCCCCCCCCCTTTTTGAAAGAAGACCAGTACCCCCCCCCCAACCAAAATTTTTCAAAAGTTCGGGGGTTGCGTTTTGGCCCCCCCCCCCCCCCCCCTTTTTTTTTTAATGGCAGTTATCCCCCTGCACAAGGGGGTGGTTTTGGCCCCCGCCCCCAAAAGGAAAGGATAAAAAACCCCCCCCCGAGGGTTTGGGGCACCCCCATGGCCCCCCCCCCCCCGGGGGGAGATTGGGGGGTGTCCCTTTTACAACCCCCCCCCCCCCCCCGATTGTGGTCAAATGACTACGGCAAGCAACAAATGAGCACGCCCCCCCCCCGATTGAATGATGACGCGTACCCCCCTGTACGTCTCTCAACAGGTCTGCGGCATCGCCATCGGCACCCACCCCACCGTGGGAGCGGCGTGCGTGATCACTCTCGCGGGCGGTTACGGTCCACGGCCCCTGTCAAGATCGGCGGACGTGGTGTGCGAGGCTGGCTCGGCGCCGTCGGCGGAGTTCAGGGAGGTCCTGGAGAGCATACCGGTCCCGCAGATCACGGAGGAGGTTAGTTTTCACCCCTTCTTTTCGTTTTTTTTTTCTTGCAAGTGTACATACGATCACCGAGATAGTGCCACAGCGGGAGGGAGCGTGTTGGACGCCTCTGAGGGAAAAACTGGGGTTGTTGGGCGGAATTCAGGGAGGTCCTGGAGAGCATACCCTTCCCGCAGATCACGGAAGAGGTTAGTTTTCGCTCTGTTTCTCATTTTTATAATTTTGTTTTGATTTCTCTCCTTTGCTTCCTAGGAAGCTGTATCATGTTGGGGGGTAGCTGGCCTGTGGCCCCCGAATGCGTGCGCGTCAGGTGGACCTGTACTGACCGGAAACAAGGGTTTTTAGCTTGAAGACAACAGCATGCTATCACCGAACGACTATACGCGTTTGAGATAAACAACACAGCACGGTTTTTAGCTTGAAGACAACAACATGCCATCACCGAACGACTATACGCGTTTGAGATAAACAACACAGCACGGTTTTTAGCTTGAAGACAACAACATGCCATCACCGAACGACTATACGCGTTTGAGATAAACGACACAGCACGGTTTTTAGCTTGAAGACAACAACATGCCATCACCGAAAGACTATACGCGTTTGAGATGAACAACACAGCAGTCCCAAGAGGATGTGTTGGAAATCTCTGCAGTGAGTACGGAAGAAGGCCAGCTGAATACTGGGCTTACTATTTGTTCTCTTCGTAGGTGTTCGGAGTCGTCCGTCCAGAATACGGGGACACCACTCAAGTCGCAAGTGGCAATTGTAGAGCTTTGGTTTTGGTGGTTGTGTGTGCATACGTGTGTGCGTCGACTGATGCTCGCCGGCTGACCAGGGCAGAGAAGCCAGTGTCTGCAAGAGAGAAGGCAAGGAGAACAGCTTTCTAGCCCGCAGGGTGCTCCCAACAGGGGGAACGCGGAAGAGATGTGTGTGTGTGTGTGTGCTAACCCTACCCCTACAGTGTTTTATCAGTTTTGGGGAGGCATTATGGCGTGTTTTGTTTTGGGTATTTCTTTATGGCAGATTCATCTGTTCAGTTCAAATAGTAGGTGTGGTGTACGGCTTCGGATACTACTTGTAGGCGTTAGTGAGCTCTCGTTCGTCGTAAGGGAGCGTCTGGTCGTTTAGTAATGCCTCTTTGTATTTATGCTACCCCAAACGCTGGTCTAGTCTACCTAGCTCTCTTTTCATGTTTCGACCTTCAAACTCTCGTTCCGGACCTCGATCTCTCTCCCCTCTTTTTCACCCCGCTCCTTGTTGCAAACCCTCTCGATTCCTTTTTTTCTTCCATTCCTCCATCGCTCTTGCCTCTTTCATGCTCCTCCCATCAGAGTTCCCCGCAGCATTCCGGACATGACCTATCCACGCCGATGGTTCCTCTCCTGTTTCACCTTTTGCTGCTGTGCGGATCTGCTTGGCTAAACGCTCTGCCCCTCTGCCCACTGTTCTCGACCCTCTCACCTTTTCGTCGCTGATATGTAGGTCAGCAAGTGTGTCGAAGTCGGGATGGAAGTGCAGCTGCAGTACACTCCGGGGTCGATCAAGTGCACCTTCGTGCAGGCTTCGGGCGCGCGCAAGAGCATGGGCTGCAAATGGGCTTGACCACGCCCGCCCTGTGTGGTGCTCTGACAAGCAGCGAGCTATGATAGCTCAGCCTGACCATGCCCTCCCCGTGAGGTGCTCAGACAAGCAGCGAGCTAAATAGCTCAGCTTGACCAATCCCGCCCGTGTGGTGCACAGACAGGCTAATTAGTTAAGCTTCCCCCCGGAGCGCACATATACTGATTTTGTCCATGGGCCTCTTTGTGACGCCGAGGCCGAGGAGGAGAAAAGACTTGCAGTTGTACACGGAGCAACCGCCAGCCAGGTGTAGACGTAATTCAGGCCATGATTCCGCGAGCAAAATATGAAACACTCGCAATAGTCAATTAACTGAATGTTAGTTTCCCCCGAAGAACCGGTGGAAACCGGTATAGTAGGGGACGCAAATGAATGACAAGAAGCCCGTGTCCCGTCGTGGGCAGAGCAGTAGTAGTAGTTGTGCCAAAGAGCTGAGTCGTGAAAGACTATAGAGTCAACCCCCCTACATGCTGTCTTAACGGTCGGTTCATTTCTCTTTGTGTGTTGCTGTTATGGTGGTGGTGGTGGGCGCGGTGGCAAGGGAGGGCTGGTATTCCACGAGAGATGGGAGGGGATTTGGCCGAAAATATTAAAATATTAACGATTCCCTGTGAGTTTACCTTTGCTTGATTTCTATTCCTAGAAGTGTGTTCAATACCTTTTTGGGGTAGTAGTTGGCCTGTGACCACGGAAGGAAGGCGTCCGCCCCAGTTGGACCGGCATGGATATCAGAAGAAGGTATAACGAGAAGGGGACCGGAACGGGTTTGAACCCTTGCGTGACTGAACTCATCTGACTTTCTGACCTGTTCGGCCGACACTGGGGTTCTTCGTTCCCAGGGTTGGGCTAGTTATTGAAGTGTACCAGGTTGAGCCGGGCTCACAATCGGCTCCATACAAAGTGCTTAGATTTTGAGGGATTTCAGGCTCAATCCTGACCTATTACCAAAAAAGTAGGTGGGTGAGAGGTACATGTAGCTCAACGTGTGAAAACAGAGGCCCATCGTTCTTGCAAAGCAGGTGGGCACAGCAGTGTGTATGTTGCTCTTCTTGCTCTGCGGAACTTCCACGAGCTATGCACAGCAGCGACTCAAGACTCTCGTTGGATGGTCCGTCGCGTGTGGTTTGGCTACAAACAAACCCCGACGCAGTTATTGTTCTCAACCTCGACCTCGGCGATTGATTGATTCCTGTGCGCACCCACGGTCTGCGGTTGAACGTCAGGGTGCGCAGGCTGGAACCCCACCCATGCAGATGGCAGGTCTTTTGTCGGCGACGAGTGGTGGATGTCACAGCAACCTCAAAGTGTTCTATGTCTGGGCCCATCACGAAGATGAAGGGGGGTCTTTCGCTGGCGTGGTGTGGTTGTCTCAGCAAAGTGGTGGTCTGCGAGCTCATCATCAAAACTCTTCCTATTGCCAGTTCATACTTCATGTACATATGCATCCATCGATTATCGGGTTGCTTCCCTCCTCCGTTGTTGCACACAACACTTGTCCCAATGATATCATATGTGGAATGGAAGTCCGGGATGCCCGGCAGGGATCATAATACCTTCAGAGGATCACAAGACAGGACATCAACGACAAAAAGAGAGGACTGTCAATGGTAAGTGATACAATGTCATTGCGTACGCCAATGCGAGTGAGTGTCGCGCAACGGCGACGTTTCTCTGGCCCTCATTGTCTGCCGTTGTCTCCTGCTGACTGCCCAGGCACCTGCCCGAGGCACATGTACGGGGGGGCAAGAGGGAAGGAGGAGGCAACGGGAGGAGCCGAACATGTGTCAGCCCCCCGCTTCATACAAAAATGGTGGGAGGCGTTCTTGATGAAAAAAACGCTGCGAAATGACCCTACAGCCCTCAGGTCCTCAGCCTGGTCCACAGCCAGGTCCGGAGGCGTAGCAAGTCCCCCAGTCCAACGTACAGGCTGTGTTTCCTAGCATGGCGGCTACCATTGTGAAGAGTGCGATGTGCCGGACGCGAACATGTGAGCACGAGCCCTGGAAATCGGTCTGTCACCACAGGATACCTATACTGCAGCAGGGTAGACGTGAAAACATGTCTTCTTGTGGAGAATGGCTCAGTGCGTTCATGTCTCGCTCAGCAGGGTATCCGCAGTACTGCTGTAAACTGCTATAGAAATTGCGGCATGTGTTTATAAGTCTTCGTGCGAGAAGTAGCTCAGTTTGATTGTGTCTTGCGGGGTGTGAAAACCTCAAACCTACGTGTGCCACGCTGAACACAGCACGCGTTGGCTTTGGTAGACGCACTTAGGGTGAAATTGACTTCGCTTCCTAGCCGATGGGGAGGTAACACCAGGTGTGCGGCAACAGCACATGTGTCTAGAGACAGCAGCAACGTGGAAAAGCAGGACAATATGAGGTCGCCAGTACCCGTTCCGCTTTCCATCGCCATATGTACCGCACACCCATGTAACAAACCCTGGCTGTTTATGGATTGTAGCGGGAAGTCGTTTCCAGCTGTTGCAGTTTGCAGAACGGTGTACTGTAGATTATCCCGCTCCTTCCCCTGATTGTTGTCCGTACGTTGTTGCGCCCCTCGGCGAAAACTCCTCCTCCCGCTGCTACGGGGCACGAAAAAAGCGGTTCACCGGCCGAACCCGACCATGTTCTACTTTCCCGGCTTGTCGTCCTGGCCGTGGCATGACCCGGCGAGCTTCCCCTGGTGCCAGGAGATGGAGAAGAACGTCCCCGCGATTCGCGCGGAGTACGAGAACCTTGTGCACAAGAAGGTACACTACGTTCTCATACAGCAGTATCTTCAAGATTCAAGAATCGCCGGCTCGTTTTGGAGTTTCTCAGCTCGCCCACGTGCAAGCTAAGCGTAAAACCTTCCACGGGTTTAGGGAGGCTGATTTTGATGCGGCGGAGTGAAGGCAACGCCAGGCTGGCATGAAATCAGGGGGTCAGGCTGAGGAGTACGCCGCAACCTGACGTCACGTCGTATTCTGGGCCGCGCTCCAAACAAGAGGCATTCCTTGTTTGCTCGCAGTGAGGGATGAGGCTCGGGACTAGTGAGTAGACGTGAGTCAAGTTGCAAGGCTAGTGGGCGTTGGCACCCAAGCTCGTTTGGCAGTGAATGGTCGAAGTCGCATCAGTTGGTAGTGGTTGCGGTGCAGAAGTTTCTGTGTTCCCCATGATTCTGCTGGACCCCCGCGATCTTTAACCACTGCCGCAGAAAGCGGCTTCCGACTACGACACCGGCGGCGACGGTGGCGAGCACAAGCTGCACTCCGGGCAGTGGGACTGGCACAGCTACGTGCTCAAGGGAAGAAGGCAGGAGGTCTTCCGGCAGCACTGCCCGCTAACCGCGGTGAGGTGGTGGTTGTAGGAGACAACGGCGTTGGGCCCTCCTCTCTCGTCGTTGTCGTTTGCTTGACACTCGTGGTGTTTGATCGCCTACCGCAGGAGCAACTTCCGCCCCGCGAGAGAGTAACGCACCGATTTTGTTTTTTGGCGCCGACACATTCTCCTACTCCCTTGGTGCTGAACCCCTCCCCCACACGCTTCCTTCTCTGTCGCAATTGCTCTGGTCACCTCGGCAGTCGCTGTTGGATAGTGTGGCGGATCACATGGTGAGCGATGCCGATCGTAGGGTCTTTTGATAAGCAAGAGAACGGGCACAAATTAGGTTGCGGTACGCCGGGTGCTTGCATGTACGTACATCGGCTGATTTCGCTGATTGTTTTGGGAGCCTCGAAAGCAAGAGACTATTTTCGAGTTGTTGCAACCGATGCATGCAGTTTCTGTTTGTCGAATTGGATGGTGCTATACGTACGTAGTGCACCCTTTTGTTGTTACGAGAAGTATCTGCCGTCACTGCCTCCGCCGCCGCTGTCATTGCGCGCCGTTGCATTTCGACGTGCTCCTCTGCACACACAACGCACCTGCCAGCACCCGATGTTTGAGCATCCCATCTCTGGCCAAAAACTGCACCTCTTATTTTGTGGTTTTCGCTGCTTTTGCTGCTGCTGATTTTGCTGCTGCTGATTTTGCTGCTGCTGCAACTGTCACCGCAGGTGGGCACGCCGTTCTCGTTCTCATTTTTTTCCACGCTGCACGGCGGCAGCTCCATCGCCGCCCACACCGCCCCCTGCAACCTGCGCCTGCGGTGCCACTTGCCCCTCACCGTGCCGTCCGCGGACCCTTCGCAGTGCGGGATGCGTGTGGGCGGAGAGATTCGACCGTGGGAAGAGGGTAAGGTTCTGAGGCTTGCCTCACATTTTTTTTTCAGCCTCGAGCCCGATTGCGTATAGCCGTATATACGAATACGCAAGAAAACACACACACACCCGGGTTGCATCTAAAATGCTGTTGACTTCTGAAATGTATCATGTATTGTATTGTGTGGTGTATCCTTGTCGACCGATTAATTGTTCTGATGTTGGTTTTATGTTTTTGGCTCATGTTGCCTGTATCATTATAAATATTGTCTGCCGGGTGTGGTATTGCGTGGGGTTGGGTTGGTCGTTTACGGTTGTGATGTCCTGTGTGGTGTTCGGTAGGTGGAATGGTCGTTGGTGTAATTCTGCCAAGCGCGGAAAGAACGCTGCTCGGAGGGAACGAGCTGTACATGGCGCCGAGCGTAGCTTTGTGAACCGTGTCATGAAAAACAAACACTCGCGAGTAAATGTCGTGGAGTCAAAAACGCTGTTTGCTGGAGCTTGGCTAGCAACCCGGCGTGTTCGCTTCCGTCAGTGCACGCGGTTTACTTCCAATCCCCCGTAATTTCATCGCCGATGCAAAACACCGATGTATTCCAAGGGGTTCCGACTTTTTCTCTGTCATCGCTCTCTTTTGGTCGTCCGCGTGCTGCGCTTCCACGGAAGCAGGAAAGTGCTTAGTTTTCGATGACTGCTACGAGCATGAGGTGTGGAACAAAACCGAGAGGGAGCGCGTGCTGCTGTTGTTCGATCTTTGGCACCCGGACCTAGCCGGGGAGGTGAGACTCGCTTCACCAAAGCACATCGATTGCAGTGGTCTGTTAGTGACTCACTAGGCCTAACCGGATGTTGAGCCTAAGCTCCGCACCTGCGATGTGACCGACCCAACCCAATCCTTACCCTCACCCTAACCCACGGCCAACGCACGGCCTAGTGGCCGCGAACTGGTCGAGAACGCGGCTGCGCCGCGTTGTCGGAGTGCGGAAAAGAGAGAGGGCGCTGGAGAGGATTCGACCGCCCGAACCAACGCTCGACCAATCAGAGGGCGTATTAGCCGTAGGTGGGAACAGTCACTAGCAGACCGTAAAAACTACTGCGACGGCAGCATTGAGCTGGTACACGTGGCGTTTGGGCGCGCCTACAACCTTACGAGGCCCGTGAATAGGGACGTGCGAGGCGCGTCATGCAGTCTCCTACGCTCGGCACTAGGGGGCATTTTCGGGGAGCTCGCCCAACCCAACAATACCCGCCCGGAGTGGGGGCAACCATCCCCCCAAGAACCCTAAACGCAAAGAGAAGTGGTTGAGTTTTGTTCGCACGAGCAACCGCGCGCTCAGCGCAACACCTGCGGCAGATATCGCAGCGGCCTCGTCCCAGCAGCCTCGTTGAGAGAGTGAGGAAAGGGGACCCCCCCCTGGCCCCCTGTTGTGCGCGTCCTCTGCGCTCATGGCACTGCGGGTGCGCTTGTTGTTGTGCCCGCAACGATGCGTACGTCATTCGGCCACGTTTTCCGACAGCCCCCGCGCGTCTTCCCACGTCCACACAGACGGCGCGCGTGAAAGCAGTAGCAGTTGGGGCAACCCTAACCATAACCCTAACCCTAGCCCTAACCCTAACCACAACCATAACCATAACCATAACCCTATCCCCAACGTTACCAAGGCGAACTAGCTTGTAGGTTCGCCATGAGACGGCGACACTCTTGAAGGTGCTTGGCATCGGTGCCCGGCAAACGTCTGATGACCCCCAGCATCTCGAGTGATGAATAACGTCTTTGTGAGAACTTCAAAATAAAAGAAGACGAGGGAAGAAACGCCAAGATGGGTGAAGAGAACCAAACGACGCCTTGACGTTCGCAGCTTTCTTTCACACGGTGACCATAACGAAACACTTTCCCCAGGGCACGCTTGCGGTTCGTGCAGGATCCCACCCGCACGTCTGGCAATACTCCTGTCTGCGTTGATCGGAACGAACCGGACTCCGGACACTCGGTCACAAGAATAGTGGCTTTGGGGAGGTGGAGGGAACATCGGTTCCTTGGGGTGGAGAGAAACAAGTATAGGGGGAGGAATTTTCGTTTTAATTGCGCGTCAGTCGACGTCACCAAGCTTGATCCTCCATTGTTTTTGTTCCTACCATCATTCTCGCCTTGGACGCGAAACTTCCTCCTCCCTCGACGCACCAGTAGGCCTTCTCGATGTCGCTATCGTCGATCCTGCGGCAGATACATGGATGCACCGGAAAATCGCTCCGAAATCGGGGACCCGCCCTCTCGTTGGGGAGCATAGCAACCACCAAGACAAACAAGTCCCAAATGCGGGTACGTTTGGTTCATCCGTTGTAGCCCCGCCCTCCTTACGGTTGGTCTCTCCGTTTTTCGATCTAGACTAGATAGATGGTGATTTTCTTTGGAGATCGCGGCGTGAGAGGTAGTGGCCCATACAGCAGTACCTCGCCGAAACCACTCTCGGGCAGGACACTATGGGGCGGTTCTCAATGTATCGTACGGGGTGCTCAGCGAACTTCGAGTCGACGAGTCTCTTGCAAAGAACGCACCGCAGCAGGCATGGCGGTAGTGAGTCTTCTCCTTGCGCTTCGAATCCGGAGGCAGGACCCCTGCTCTGCGCCCCCCTCTGCCGGGGGCAGCCCGATGACTAGGAACAACGCCCTCGTATCACGCTCGACGACTGACGGAAGTAATTCTTCGTCGATGGCCAGCCAGCCTGGCTAACACTGTCGCTTCATTGTTTTTAGGATAGCACGCTGAGTAGAAAACAAGCCGCGAATGACAGAAAGTACAAGAAGAGTGGTGCAAGAGAACGTACAAGAGGAAGGCCGGTTCCTTGTTGTGTGGCATAAGTGTACAAAGGGCAGGAGGCCAATATGGTTGTTGTGACAGTGTACAGGCCAAAAGGAACGCCTCGCGGTTGCGTCGGTGTTTAAGCCTGAGCTGCAGAGCGCGGTGTGTGTCTATGTGGTTGGTTAAGTGGCCCATGTTTGTTATATTTACCGATCGAATTTAATCAAGAACGTCGTTCCTGCCAGTGGGTACGCCACACCGTGCAAGGCACACAAGAGCAGTGGAGCTCCGATGACGTAAAGCGAGACCGGCACGAGAACCGTTGCGGCTCGGGGTGTGCGCCCTCGACGTACTCGCGACAGCACCGTCGAACGTGGAGTTTTCAGTGCAAGTTCTCGCAAAACTGTTCGATAACTCCGACCTCTGTGCGACCACCCGCTCGACCTGCGCGCCCACTCTCTTCCCTTCCGTATTGTAGTTTTTTACCTTCGTACCGTATTTTTGCTCAGAATACCTATTAGTAGTACACGAAACGGTGACTGATGTGATTTTCCGCTAAGTTGGAACAACGCGATCAAGCAGGTAAATGGGACGGAAGCCTCGCACCGCTCGCACTGCTCTTACGCACCCAAAAAGCTGGGTGTACTTGATTCATATCTTAGGGCGGGCTTCATGAATGGATGTGGTCTGATCTGCCACACACCTAGTTGTTGCGTGCTGACTCTCCCACTCGCGTAACACACCCACCCCCGCTGCTTTTTCCCTTGCCCCTCTGGAATGGATGGTACACAGGAGAGGAATGCGGTGACCGACATGTTTGGGTACGCAGCAAGGCAAGGCTGGCTCAGAGGCGGCGACAAAGAAGGGAAGAGATGATAATATGCATAGGACAAGTGGCCGTGCCGCGATGGGCGAAGACAGCAGTTCGCATGTTAATTAACTTCATTCATTATTCAACCACGGCGTGTATGGGCATATATATGAGCATCGATCGGCGTGGTGGGTTAGCTGGATGGATGGATTTCAGACCAAGTCTGGCCACACGCGTTCTTCCGTCCTTCCGCGAGAACCCTCCGTGGGCCTTGGAGCATAACGAGGGTAGAAGGCCTCACATCGACGGCGGGCTTCAGAGGAAGGGGTCGTCGTGAAGCAGTTGCTGCTGGCGGTGTCAACAAAACTTGCGCTAGCTACCTGTATTTCTCCCGTGAGATGGACATCATTAGCTCTCCCGCGGTGCCAAGAAGTCGTAATCGCACAGCAATTTATTGTTTAACCTGAATCAATTATTGGTGTCTCGGCGGGAAGATAAAATAGGGAGGTGCTCCACCCAACTGAAATATCTCTGGCAGAATTCGAAGTGATTGGGCTCGTTGGAGTTGTGCCACCTTGTACCTGTCCACATTCACTCAGGGGACCTTTTCGTTTGTGTTCTGTGATTGGCGACCCACGGAGGTACCGTCCATCTCTCTCCTCGGCTGTTTTTACGCCCGCAATTTGAATGTGCAGTTCGGATGCATTACCGCACCACCAATTGTCCATTCATGCGATTAGTCACACTCGGGTTGGTGATGTTATTCAGCATCGGGGTCGAGTCACGACAGGGCTTTTTTTTCCCTGTTCGTTTCCCTGTTTTCTTCTGTCCTGTCATCAACCTCGAGTATCTAAGATTGCTTACTGTCCTTCAACTGATATAATATAATATCACACGAACGGAGTTAGACAAGTTAATTGTTGTTGTGCGGATCGTTGAACATAGGCCGACCTTGCTCTTGGGCCTTTTGTCACCGCCAACCGACCGTGTTCGGACCATCATCAGGTACGTTCGTTCCCCTCGTAAACGCCTGCTCGGCCGGCCGGAGCCGTTCATCCATTTAGCATTTGTATGAATGTGTGTGTATAAGCGCCATTGTTTGGAGGGAGATTGATTGATTGTCGTCGTTTTACCCCCCCGGATGACGTCGTGGGGAGATTTTTGCGTGAAACGCTCGCACACACACCCCTCGAGCACTGGCGAGGAGACTCTCTTATGGTGTTGTTGAAGCAACGGGTACAGTAGTAAAATTAGCTTCTCTCTTCTTTGTTATGCAGACAAAAATACCGAAACGAACTTTAAAATTAAGATTACGACCACCGGGGCGCCGGCTCTCTTGTCTTGGAATAAAAGACGGTGAATCGCGGAGCAGATGGCTTGGATCGGACTGAACTATTCAAAGTGTGACAGCAGTGAGTGTGTAGAGCCGGACGCCCGGTGTATACCGCTGACCAAATCCCTTGCCGCGGGCTGATGATGCAGGAAAGCTGCACATGGAATGGATGGATGGGTTCGTTGCCGTGTTGCTGTGAATGGTGTCACATCATCATCAGTAACTGCAATGTCAGGCGAAGACGGTAAAACAAAAGACGATAATCTACTGAGGACAGAGAGAGGTAGAAGTAGTGTGGAACGCGGCAACCGATTATCATTATTATGTACACATAATTTGTTGATCCAAATCAAATTCTCTGCTCAGCGCCCGTACTCTGTGTGACTGGTGGTCGAAATCACAAGGGCGACGACTTCTTCTGTGTGTGTGTGTATGGCCAAGAGTATGCCGGGAAGAGAAATCATCATCATCATTAACAGCCAGCCGTAGTATCCATTATCATCATGTGCATCTCAGCACACACACCGAGTAAATAACCCAACCCCGAAATTGAGAAGTCTGGGGCCCACGGGCAATTGGTGCGTTGTGTGTATTACGGTTGGTTGACATGCACAATTTTGTTTATTTCTTGAGGAGCTACATAGTTCTGAAGAGCCGGATCCTGAGAAGGGGACGACACTCCCCGAAGGGCACCTACACCTCATCCACACTTTGTTGCTTTGCGCAGTGCGTGCCACACACATACCCGGAACAAGGGAGGACGCGAAGGCAGAGCACATCGTCCGTGGGCCTGGCAGCCATCTCTACCACCACCGTTGCCGCTCCCCCCCCCCCCCCGCCGGTGGCGGCACGCATTCCATCAATCCAGACAGAGCGAGAGAGGGGTACAGAGTATAAGAAAACGCGGGACGCATTTTATTTGTTTCAGCAACGGCATCAACAAGACAGAGTCAGTCTACAGCGGCACACACCACACCCACGCGGCCAAGCAAGCACGCGAGCATAACGCACGCGGCGATGAGCAGCAGCAGAGGTAGCGGCGACGTCACGGGCGCGCTGGACGTCTTCGATGCCAGACGGCGGCAGCAGCTGCAACAGCCTCTGCACGACAGCGGCGGCGGTGGTTTGAAGAGTCAGCCGATCCCGATCCCAAACGCACCATCCATCACAAGCGGCGGCGATAGCGAGAGAGGCTGGACTTGCTCACATGAGGTGCGGGGTGTCGAATCGTCAGCGCCGCGAAAGCAGCGGCGCATTGTACCGACCATGCATAGCAGAAAGAGTAGCAGCAGCAGCAGCAGCAGCAGCCAAAGAGCCCGAACACATGGCACACGCAAGGCAGTATCTACCGGCGCCAGAAAAACCCACACATACTCGATCGGAAATTATTGCTGGAGAAAACAAGAGCTGTATGCCCACAACAAGCAGGAACAATCAGGTGAGACTTTCGGCTTGCCTCCGGCTGGACTTTTTTTTCATTTTTTTCGGAACAAACTCGTTGTCGCCCTCTGCTTTCTTCTGGAGGATCTCACTCTTTCCATATAAATTTCAAGTATAACAGCAGTGGTGTTGTACATCCCACATATGCCCAGTTTCTTATCTTATAATAAGCTGGCATAAATATTCTGCCGGGATGCCGGAAGGTCGGTGTTTATTTATAGCGTGTGCTGCTCCCCTGTGTAACATAATCTCTCGACAAGAAACATACAACAACAAACACAAAACACGTGCGCGTGTCGGGCCTGCGCGGCATAGCGTTGCCGTTGTGTTAAGGCGGTGCAACAGCGGCTTTCGGCGCCTTGGCACCGAGGCCGGGGGGTCGTTGTTGCAGTTGTGGCATAGCTTCGGCCTGGGTTCCAACTCCAAAAAGAAGCTCGGAACGAACTTGGTCACGGAGATAGATATAGCGGGCGGCGGGCGAACCGCGAATCAGTGATCGATCTAACACCAGCACCTGCTGCAATTGCTAAATACCCCGCCTATCCCTGCTCTTTCTTCTTCCCGCCTCTCCCGAGTTGGGAAGGGCTTGCTCCGTCTGCCTGACATCTGTCCATACCGGAGGACTTCCGTGGTCATGCTACACACTGACCTCACCCAGCGTTATATTTTTTCGGCACTTTCTTTCGTACGCTACGGTTGGCGTCTTTTGTGACCCAACCCTTTTTTTTTTTTTTCTATCATTGGACTCTGTCGCTCTGGCCCCTGTCCTCCACTTCCATTTACTAGCTAGACGACCCAACCGGGGTCGGTCACATAGGAAGGGGGGGTTGGACCCCCTCCTGCGGTCCCTGCCTGAGATATATTAACTGTGTACACCTGACGGTGCTAGGTACCGCGAGTCAGTTCCGGCGGACCAAAAGAGATGTGTCTACCTTGAAATATGTGCCACGTCACCAAGTCAGGTTGGTTATACTACCGTTGTGTCATTGACACTGAAACATCGAAATTTCGTACTTGATGCATATCAATTGAAAGGGTCGTCGCTGTGTGGAAATCATGATTGAAAGAGAACAACCGTCTGATTCGGCACCCTTCTACAATACTAGATTTTGGGATTAGCAACTGACACGAGTTTAATGTGAAGAAAAACAACAACAACAACAACAATACGTGTTCCTCGCCTGCCCTACTCAAAACAGAGTTTATTTCTAAAGAAAACCCCCGCCTCCTCGATGAGTACAATCTGGTTGTCATTTTTCTTCTCCTTGTGTGGCGGCAGAGTATTGATTTCGCCAACTATCTCAGTGATTGATTTCGCCAATACCACAATGGCGGCACCATGCAACCTTTAGCCTTTCGCCAGCCAACCCTTGTCCCGCGGTCCTCATCAATTCGTTCCAGGTCTCCTGCCTGAGGTTAACTAGTTGCTCGTTAAGTTCTTCTATGTTATCCCTCCGATTGATGCATATGCATGTTGATCCCACTCTGTTGGCGCCGTTGGCATGACGTAGAACGCAGTTGCTTGCATGATGCTACTGCTGCATATCATACGTGCAATGTCCCGTGGACATGCGTACGGTAGTACGCTACGACACACACGCATTCTTATATATTTTTTACCATGGCATATTTTTTCATTTCACGTAACGAATCCGTCTCCATCGATGAATAGTCCCTGAAAAGTTTGCAATGAATCCTCGCAATCAGCGGGGGCTACCTGTGGGCCTACGATTCCATTTCGATGTTTCCCCGAATATGAATCTCGGTCCTCGTCGACCGCTGCTGTAAGGCCCGAAAACCATTCATTTCATGGAAAAGGCCTTGGGCTAATTAGCAGATACTGCTGTCTGTCTGCCAACCGTAAGGTCGCGTCGTTGCTCACTCCCCCTCTAGACCAAGCAAGCGTACTACTACACGGGTCGCGTGCTGTTTGGCAGCGGTCTAAGGTATTCCACACTCCACGTTCGGCACGTATTCCGAAAAGGGTGGTAATGTGGTAACAGGGTACATGCGTGCTGTATGGACGGAGAGGTCTCGCCCAGAGCTATTTCGTGTATAGATGCCGCCCCGTTGCCGTGTTGGTTCGGCAGGTTGCCACAACCTCTTGCAACGTACACACTGCATGCGGAGACTCGTAAGTACGGCAGCAGCAGCAGGGCGTGTGTGATTGTGGTTTTGCCACGATAATCGACCGACAGGAATGGAATCACTTCAAGCTGAAAAGCACGACGCGTCGAGTAATATTGCCGTGCGTGGAGAGCGCCAGAAAAATGTATTTTTTTAGATAGAGAG